CATATCTAAACCCCTCACAAAATATGTACCAAAACCAGATCAAATAAATATCTGCTGACCAAACCCATTTGTTCTACCCAAAATTATAAACATTTTCACTCAGTTAAATAATTTTTTTCACTATCCTTTTGTTGGGTTTCTTATGTTCACCATGGATTAGCTGCTGCCAGGTTCTTTGGATGATGTAGTTAGTTTAGTTTGAGGTATATGGAGGTGTGTGGGAACATTAATGATGAGGTGTTGGGTTTGTAAAGATTGAGGTAGAAAAGTATAGAGAAAGAATTAAAATATAGAGAGAGAAAGGTTTAAGGTAAAAGAATGGTATTGGAATGAAAATTAAATGGCTAAATGAGGGTATTTTAGTATTTTTACAAATTCTGTAACGTCCATGCACTGTGACACTTTGCTTTTAAGTTTTAGTGCACTAATTCAAACTACAAGGAGGTTACGTACAAATGACCATAAGTACTGGGTTTTTTTTTTTGCATTGAACCCTTTTTTTTAAAGGTGGTCTTTGATTTCCTTTTTGCAATATTCTAGTAATTCTTGGTTCATTTAGATTGGACGAGCTTTTGTTGGAATATTTCTTTCATTGAAATTTGTGACAATAATTCAAGATTTCAACAAAGCAATGTTCAAGATGTTAGATTCCAACAAAGCAAAGAAATAATGTCAGTAATAATAATAATTAAAAAAAAATTCCTTAAAAAATAAATTATTATACTTAAAGAGCAATGAAAGAAACAATTGCAATGGGGCTATAGACAAACAAAAGAAAGATAGAAATGTAAGTCAAAAGTTGTCATGATAATGTTCTTAGTCAAAAGTTGTCATGATGTTGTTCCAAGAATTATGCATGTATCGGTTCATCATTCTTCAATATAAACATAGGAAATGTAAGAATGAAAGACAGAGTCGGATAGTGAATTAAGTGCATATTGTTAGAATTGTGAGCATGATCTCTGGTCTTCTTTGTTCAATGATTGTACTGTTTACATTCCCATTTGTAATTCATCTGTCAATAAATTTCAATTTCAAGTTTTCAATTCAAATCATTGTAAGTTCTATTTTCTATCTTTCTTAATTACTAGTTATCTTATTTTCATACTTATTTTATTATGTTAAATTTCATATGTGCTTAGGTAAACTTTGGAACATTATCATGACAACTTTTGACTAACATTTTTATCTTTCTTTTGTTTGTCTATAATCTTTTTGCAATTCTTTTTGCAATTGTTTTTTTGCATTGTCCTTAAAGTATAATTATTTCTTTTTGAAGGAATCTTCTTTTTTGTTTAATTGTTATTATTACTGACATTGTTACTTTACTTTGCTATAATATGACATATTGGACATTGCTTTATTAATTTGCGCACAATATTTACAATAGAAAATGATCATGGCCATCATAATAGACAAGCATGTGTATTTGGCCATGCTTGAATGTACAACCATCCTGATAGAGATCGAAAAGGAATTGGATGAACTTAAATTGAATAATTGAATTTTATTATTTGTTTTAGTATTATTATATTAGTTAGGGAATATTTGTTTGACTAGAAGTATTAGTTAGAGATCGACTAAGGAATTATGATAGAGTTTTAGAAGGTTATGAATTTAAGAGTTTGATTATGAAACTCTTTTAGTATTTTGGTAGGAAAGTAGGTTTTATTTTGATAGGGACTTAGCTGATAAATATCGATTTAATTCCCACTATTTTTATTAGAGAGAGTGATATTAATAAAAATATTTCTCTACAGAGATTTTGTATGTTTCTTGACTAATTCCTTGCGAAGATGAGATAAATCTCTTCCACCCCTTCTTCTTTCTTTTCCTTGTTCAATTTTTTTGATTTCTTCTTCTTTTTGTCATACATCAATACCTTTAACTCCAAGCCCAAATGCTTCAATGAACAAGATTCATAGCCATCAAGGAATGCAGTAACATTGGATAGACCTATTACACCTATGCAACCTTGACTACCGATAGGAAATGAGTAGGTTACGTAGTCCCATAGTTATCAAATCGAGATTCGTATTGGGAATCGAAATCCTAGATTTAAGAATTAGAAATCATAAGATTCGAGACAAAATTCGAACAATGATAAAAAAATAACATGTACATATTTAAAATAGGCAAGATACTGAATATTTAATATTATTGTATTTTAAAAATAATCAATTGACAGTATTGACATGATCACATATTCTAAATAGAAAGATGCTAACCTTTATAAATCTTTATAAAGCTTTACATGAGTTTGAACCTCTGTTACTTCTTTCTTAATGTATAATATATCGTTCCCTTGAAATGGCCACGGGCCCATGATGAAAGTAGATAAAACCAACAAATAGCTATTGTCTTCCTACCAATAAAATTATACTCAAATAGGAAAAGTCTATACTGATTCGAACATGTAAACTTAGAAAATCACTTCCCACACTAGAGTAAAAAATTAATTTTTGATGAAAAAAAAAAACATTTATTGAAGAAGTAGTGTATGTTAGGGTTTGATAGTTGTTTTTGAAGAAGAAGAAGAAAAAGCATACTAGAAGTGACAAAGACGTCGTCTCAAGAGGCAGAGACGCGAGTTTTAATATAAACTCCCATGTATTTATAAGAATGCTTATTGTATACCATGTGTTGCATGAATATTTAATGGTTTAGGAATATGGACATAGGCTGTATTAGAGGTGTTTTGTACTTCTTAGTGAAGTTAAGAAGAGAATAACTAGATATGACCATGGTATTTTACCCATAACTTTTTGTTCTAACATTAGTTTGACATGATTTTTAGATAGCAGAAACTAGATTCCAAGAGCTACAAAAATATATTTCACAAAAATTTCATAAATCGACTTCTAAATAAGTCAAAACTATATTGGAAGTTCTGACAAAAAAGGAGTCACATTCGAATACCCACTCTCGTTCGAACGGAGCGTAGCTACAATAATTTAGTATTTGACAGAAATCAAGATACTGGGAGTAAGGAACATTTGAATGACAATCACATTCGAACGTTAGTGCGATTTTTATAGCAATCAAGGACACACTGACTGTTTAGATTCTGACCTAATAAATACCCCAAGGACATCTTTAGGTCAGATTTCAGCAACTTTGGCCCTAAAAAACCCTAGAGAGAGAGACAGAAAGAGAAAACACAAGTTTCACAAGGATTTTCATGTCGGGAATGGATTGAACACGCTAGGAGTCAATCAAACTGCGCGTTAAAGGTAGGATTCTTTCTCAAGTTCACTGTTTGAGGACTAGGGATGTATATATGTATATCTTTTCATCTCCATTAAGAAATAAATATTAGTTCTAACAAGATTTTAATGTCAATTTAATTCTACGTTTCGTTTATTAAACAAAATACATGATTTATTACAAGATTTACTCGTTTTGATGATGAAACCCTAGTTCTTTAATTACAATTTGAACGTATGATAGAGAAACAATTCTATCGTATTTTTTATGAGAACATGTTCAGTATATTGGAAGAATTACATGTTTTTAATTCCTAAATACTATGTTCTTGATTTCAAAAACCCTAGCTCTTGGTTATGTTCAATATAAAAGTGTTTTTGGAGATCTCTTGCATATTTTCTTGAAATTATTCTATTTTGACAATTGTGAAACTGTGACTCGTAATTTTATGTGGAAGTTATGAAACTATCTCTTGTATTGGTAGATGTGATAAACCATGAGTTACATTTGACCAAGTATCGTAAAATGCATAGATGCGTTTTTTACCATGAGAGGTTTGAAAGTTCCCTATTACTCGTAGTGGAATTGCTTGGTTCATTGTAAGGTTCAAGAATTCACACCCTTCGCTCACAGAGATTGAGGCTAGGAGCTAATATACTATTCTTGAAAAAGATTCGTCCCTTTCGATGCATCGGTATACGCCCTTCCTAAAGTATTATGTCCTTGCGAGGATTAGGTGTTTGGGTGTGGACTAGTATATTCTCGTTGGGTGTATTCATGCTCAGTCTACCCTATGTATATGAGATATATTTGTGGAAATTAAACTATTTCTTGAGAATCGTTCTCTTTTGTATAAACTATATCATTTTGATATCGTACACTTGAGATTTCATAAATTGTCCTTATTTTTATTTCAAAATTATGTTAGGTTATTTTATCAAATGAGACCTATCGGTTTTAACTGTTTTGAAACCTTACTTGGGCTTGAGGAGATTTTCTACTAAGCTTTTTGCTCATCCTACACTATAAATCTATTTTGTTAGATTTTGGTGTTGAGAAGGACATCGCATTAGGTGAGCATGTTGATTGGGACATTGAGGCAGATTAGTATGTGGATTCAAAAGTGGATGCTTAGTGATATTTGGTTGTGATTTAAATTTCTAAATTTCTTCTTGTGGTTAATTGAAATAATGTTTTTCGATTAATATTTTTAGTAGTCAAATGGAATACTTCTATTATTTTAGATGCTCTCATGATGGAGTGTTATATAGATTGTTAATGTTTTTCCATGGTAAATTTTGGAGCGTTACATTTATACTTTGAGAGTGGGCCTCTTCTAGCAAATCAATGTCGTTTTACTAGAAATAAGGTTTAAAAAAAATAATAAAACAAATTGTGTGAATCCTTCTACTTGAATTGAATCATACGATTCCTGTGCCATTATTTTGATAACAATGTGTGGCCCAATGAGTGACCAAACATGTTCTGTGGTTCGCATCCTTGCGTATACATTGAGTTGAGTTGTTATGCAATTCTTGTCCACAATAACGAGGATGTGTAGCGCTTTCCAGAAATGAGGATATGTAGAATGCAGTGTTGGAATGACCAATAGCATATAGTTCAACCAAAATGCTGACAATATTAGTCACCCACATGTCAAATCGATCACGCGTTGGGCAACAGAGACACAAAAAAATTAAAAATTCTAAAAGGGATACATATAGATAGAAATAATATGTGAGGTACTTGTTAAGTCCCACTAATGATGCAAGTGAAAAAAATGCATGGTTGCTTTATGACTTCAACGCCAAAAATGAAAAATGATACGTAATTATAGAGTTACCGTTCTCTGTAAGAAGAGCAACAATAGTCTCAGATACATCCTCCAGAACACTGCACCAGATATTCACATCCATCACTATAAAATATATACTTCTGACAATATTGTAGCCAGATAAAATGAATAACAGGTCACCTGCCACCACTCCAAGGATCCAATAGGCCATTGGAGAATATGATGTTACTTCCAAACATTTTCAAGGCACTCTTGAAATCCTGCATTAGAATTCAGAATAGAAAACTTTAAGTAATACATATATATATGAGGATGACATAAAATTTGGCTTGAGATTAGCCGTGCAACTATGCAAGACCCAAAAGGTAGCTCATAGAAGAAGAAACCATGCGAATATGAATGTCCTTGGTCGCGCATCTACCTTAAAATAGGAGGCAACTGAGGTGGGAAAGAAAAAGAACATAAGTACATCATGAGCAGTGATGTATGCATCTAACAAAGGCTCTTTGATAGCCATTCTTACAAAGCACGGGGCAAATACATTGATTTACCTAGAAGTTCAGCAGAAAATTTATCCAGCAAATTTTACTATCCATATCTTCATATGAATGTTAGCAGGTAGGCTACATGTTCTAGAAATCCTAATGCAGAGGATTTCACTTTCGTTTTAACTCATGAAAAGAGAGTCATCTTTGGACTTCTGTTGAGAATTATTTATTTCATTTGTATCTGACCCCATTAAAAATGTTTGAATATAATTTAAAAATCAAGATAACGAGGCACCCTCTTAGATATATCAATTAAAGCAGACAAGGATGCCACTAGTATTAAGTTTCTCTAGAACATCAAACTCTGGCTGTCTTGACCACATCAAAGGATTTAGGGAAGAGGACAATATAAGATTGCTAATAGATTCTAAAGGCATAGCATTTTACAAGCATATAGTGCATCATTCTCTTACATGTCCACCAAATTCTGTAGTGATCCATGAAGGCCTTGGTTTGACATGGAAATTCTTCCAGCACCACTCTTGGTTAGAAGTGTAATTATAATCATATGGAGAAAACATGCTTGTGTCCTTGCTACTAGACAATGGCATAATCATCTCAGTGCATGCCTGTAAAATGCAACAGAAAGCGATAGCACACAAACAATTATGTACTGTACTTTTGAGTAAGAACTTCATGTGAGAATTTACACCTTAATAGTATACTTTCACCAAAAAAGGAGACAAGAAACTTTGAATTTAAACACTCATGTACCTGCCAGTTCCAACCATCCATGCCATGAGGATCATCATCCAGTTCAAAGCAGTCAACTGCTCCGGTATAATTATAAAAGACACTTATTCCTTCAAATATGCGCTCCAAAACACTGGTTCCATCAGGACAACTGTCAATCTTTCTACACACCTGACAACAACAACAACAATCATCTAATGAAAGAAATAAAGAAATGAGAATAGACCAGAGGAATGTCCTGCCAGCTAGTCTGGGTACAAACAACAATGTATTGAAGCCACTATATTTCCATACAAGAAAAGGGCCAGAACCACGTAAATCCATTTGGTTTATGCTTCAAGACAGGTTCTGGTAGTCACAGAAAGTTAATAGAAAATATTCACTTGGGAAACAGCTTGTCTGATTGCTCCATAATGGTTAGGTAAAAGATTACAGGTGCACACACGTATCTGGGAATGCTAGTCAGAACTGTTTGTTTCGTCCCTATAAAGAAGGTTTTACTTAGAAATAGAACAGTGCATACAGCAGTCAATATTTCAGGTAATGTTAATGAGCACCTACAAGGTAGAGCATAAGTAATCACCCAGCAGCACAAACTATAGCGATTTTACTTGGTGAAGAGATAAATAATGTCATCTGGATCAGAAAGCATCAGAAAACAATTAAGCGAAAGAAGACGGAAGGAATAACAACGCATTAAGAAACAAATGTACTTGAAATTGTATACCCAGTCCTAACTAACCTCTTTTATTGGGTTCCCAGGTAAAGGCATCACGAAGTCAGTAGGATATGGGTAGTCTGTCATGGCCAAATAACTATAAGCAGAATCCAACCAGTCAGAAAGATCTTCAGCTATTTCGAGCTTCCTGCATTCATCCTTAATTGAATCAGAATCAATAAACCAGCTGAGCAAACTAGAACAAACCATTGGAATTAAGATCGTTTTCACTTAAAATGCTTATGCGACTTAGTACTATCACTGGGCATATACATGGAAATGGAAACCAACACTTTGTGTTCTGTTCTTACCGACAAAAGTGGAAAATCTTACTGAGTCGCTGAAGACCATCATTTTTTTGACCCTCATAAGTAATTGCATCCCATGAATCTTTTATAGTGTTAAAGCAGCTCATACTCTCACGCTACAGACATGAGAATGTAAGCATTAGAATGCACAACAAATACACATAGTTAATACTTAATATATTGAAAGATGGTGGAACTGACCTTGAAATCATTGGAGACAATGTCATAAAATGTTTCTGTTGGCACAAGATCCTCAAATTGAAGCACTGGTGCCGAAGCAGCTAGCGCGCCGATGGCAATATGGGGGTATTTGAGCCTCATCCATGCAGCTAACACTGTTCCATTCACCACGCAACGAGCATTTCAATGGAGCTCACAATTAAACATCTTTGAACTCTTATTACTCTATAAATAGTAAGTGCACATTATATCAGAATGATAAATTGATATCTTACTTCCACCATATGATCCACCAAATAAAACGACAGGGCAAGCCTCAGCAGACAAATTTCGTTTCAGCTCAGTGATCAGTACTGCAAAATCAGCAAGCGCTTGCTCAGCTGTTAGATGTGATAAGGTAGTAGCACTTTTTATATGCCTCACTTCTGCTTCCATACGGCATTGACTCCCCATAATATCGGTGCTGCGGATCAAATTCCCAATTTTCACAACGTTCTCCCAGAGAAGGTAATACACCTTTATATTTTTTATAACTCTTGAATAAAAATAAAACAATCACATGGTAGGATGACTCGGACTGGCATTGCAAAATATATGCAAAACGCATTCAACTGCAAGTTGCACAGTTGCAATTTTCTTAATGCTTTGTTTGTTCTCCTCGGAAATTAGAAAAGAGAAACAAAACAAAAGTAAATTTAAATCTGGATACTTATTGAGGTGGCAACTTGTACAATCATCTATACCATGAAGTTAATCCATTTACCAACACTTTTTGCCCTTTTTGCCAAGTAATTCATAGTGCAACAATCAATTCTGCTTAGCTGAACGGAGTTTTACCCATTACCAAATTAAAGCGACTAGAACACAATACTCGATGATAGACCAAAATTTTCACTTTTCCTTCTTTTTCTCACTACGATATTTTGGGGAAACGCCATTGGAGAATGGGTTCTTAATATAAATTTTAACATAATGATCATCCTCACCAACTTCATTTCAAGATGCATTCTAATTCAAACACACAAATGCGCACAACAGTATGGCTTACTTCGGGGAAGATGATCATGGCGCCGAATCGAGGAGCGAGTTCCCAAACAAAGCCTGAGTTGGCAGCGAACCACTCAATATCACCTTCGTTACCGCAGTAAAGGAAAATGGGTCCCATACGAGCAGGTCCCACCCAGTGTTCCGTGTTAATCAGGTAGCGTTGCCGAAACGAAGGAAGATCGGCGAAGCTGAAGTGGTCCAGTCGCTGCTCGAAATAGCGCGTCTCATATTGGTACTGCGGTGCTCCTCTTAGTGATTGGGGTTTACGAAGGTGAGAGAATTTTCCGAGAAACCGAGGGGAAAATTTGGGAGATCGAGCTGATGATTCCGATGAGAGAGACAGTAGGAAGATGACAGAGAGTAGGAGAGAGAGTGGAATTGCCATGTTCTAAAGTTCTGATGAGTTCACTGAAGAGTCGAAGACCGTGAAAAGTGATATATACTTAAGAGTGTGAGTGATATATTTGAAATAGAGTGTATTTTTAAAAAAATTGAAATAAAAAATAAAATATTTTTAATAATTTCATGAGGTCTCTCTATTTTAATAAAAAATAATTTTATAATTAATAATATTTAATAAAAAATATTATGTGTCATCTTATTATTCATTCAATATAGAATAATGAGTAAGTAAGATTATCCAAATATAAAGATTGTACTGAAAGTTGAGCGGCAATAAAGAGTTTGCCACTCAAAATTCACTAATATTTTAAAATAATAGGTTCTTAAAATATGAGATGTCTTATTTTGGTCTCGATAATGATGGGATTCTAAATATGGGCGTCATCCAAGAGCCTAATAAAGTTCAAGGAATCTTTGCCAGCATAACGACCTCAACAAGAGTACCCATGGCTAGTCTACATTGAGAGCGGAGTGGGCCAAATCCAAAGAGTAAAGCCCAACAATACCAGAAGACCTGAGGCCCCGCCCAATCCTAATTTAATCCAGTTGAAGGACGACTCGGGATAAAGGAGCCTAGCCCAATGCCCGTTTTGGACCATTCCCGTCGCATCACGTGTCCTGGGAACAAAGGGATCATTTTCTGACACCTATGACAATCACGTATTCACTGGAGCAGAGGGTGTTAGTGCGCATAACCATTCGGAGATCGTGGGAATAGTAGCGTTGGATGAACAGTGACGCCGAATGACAAAGGTTATTACAGGACAGAGGGGGAAGGACTCACAAAATTAGCAAAAAGGGATAAGAAGCAACGTAAACCCTAAAAGAGTCACTATATAAATAGGGCACTGTCATCGAGCAAGGGGATCATCTTCTTCCTTGAGTTCTCATAGTAGAGAAAGACAATAAGTCAAGCCAGAAGCGTTTTAATTCTTGTGAAGGCCCTAAGCCAATATACATTGTTGTAACCTCTTCAAATAAAATCAAATACAAACTCAAGGAGCACGAGCCTCCCTTACAATGGACATAGTCTTAGTCTCTTGGCTGAGACGAACCATTTATGCATTGTGTTTTTTCGATTCTCATATATCGACCTTTAACTCAACTAAGTCACGAATATTCCCAAAACATCGCCAGTTCGACTTGGACCATTACTTCCGAGCATCATCAGGTTCCTAAAATTTTAATTGTATCATTTTGATCTCCTCTGCCCGTCTCTTTTCCACCAATTCCTCTCTCCTTTCCCCAAATCTCTCTCACTTATATCTTGTGCCTCTTTCTCTTGGACGAAGCACCCGGTGATTGGCAGCGAAGTATTCAACAACAGGTAATTTTCGAATATTTTCATTTCTCCCCCCTCTCTCTCTCCACAGAGGCGTGGCGCCCTCCTTCATCCTCCATCCTCCATTACTTCTTTCTTTCTCTCTTACACACACCCCCTATTTGCCACCACCACACACACACTACAACCTATAGTACGCTCTGCTTCTCCTATCTACCAACACACACAACCTCCTTTTACCATCATTACCTATCTTTCTCCATCTCCACCGGCAGCTCACCCACCCCCTCCTCCCTACACATAGCCACACCTCCACTACGTCCCCTCCTCCCCCTCCCCCCCCCCCCACACCCACCCATTTGTTAAAATGATGCACTTCAACTGTTTGTTAAAATGCCTTACGTAAACCGCCTTCAACCACCACACTAGAGCGCATACCAACTATAAAATGGCTTTCGATTTTAATTTTTTTTGTTTTGTTTTGTGAGTTGTATATTTTTCGGGAAAATTTATGGAATATGAATATCTGTTTGTGCTTTTGTTTCAAATATTTTAGGTCCCTAAGCTTTTCATTTATTTATTTGCTCCAGATTTGAAGCAAATTTCATGATTTGAAAGCTTTTTACAATGGGGTCTTCTTCATTTCTTGCTCCGATTTGAATATCTGTAAGTTCAAGTTAATTTTTATTTTATTTAGCTTTATTTTTAGAGTAATATAATGACATAATTATGGGTTTTATTCAATAATATTTTAGAGAAATATGTGTGTGTTGTTATGGGTTTGTTTGATTGTTGATAAAGGCTTTGGGTTTGAGAATTTTTTGGATTTGCAGGTGATTTCCACAAATTGACTTAATTAATGTACTTATTTGTGTTATTAATGAACGATTATACATTAGAAAGTCTAGAAAAAGTTTTGATACCCTCAGTGGACTGTTTTGCGATACCTCAAAGTGATCTTTGAAGGTAATTTATATTATATTCTATTGTTTATGTTTCAACAATGTATTTATTATATTTTATAGTACTAGAATCTGCAAAGAAAGGTTCGTTATAGTTTACGGGCCATCAGTTTATACGTTATAATATTTTTCTTTTATTTAACTAACGACTCACCTTTGATAGTTTATGGCCAATAGAAGCGAGAAGAAGAGGGTTGTGTGAAGATAATGGTAAAATCTCCCACTGGCCATAAAAATCTGTTTAATATCCTCTCTTGACTTCATTTTTAAACTTTTCATAATCCCTTTTGTTTTTCAAATTTTTTAGTGATACTAATTATTTCATAATCTATTTTTCAAGTGCAAATTGATGGCACCTCAATTGTACTAATTGTACCAACCGGAATACATATATAAATCATGCGATATATTAACTACTATTATTTGCTTTTCATTGATTCAATCCGAGTGAAAAATTTTGTCTATATTACATAGTGCCTTCAGGCACATATAATAACTAATACTTCAAAAAGATAATTGCATAATAACTTTTTATTAATATTTTCAAAATTTTATTTTTCTATCTAATCAATCATTCATTTATCATCAATTGGATCAAACAAAGTGATCACAAGCTATTGAGCTTTCCACCATACCTATTTTCTTCAATTTTTTTTAAAATCAATTCCTTTTAAATTTGAAAAACTTTGCCTATTTCGGAATTGAGAAACCTTACTAGTCGCTATAAATTGAGCAGAAATTGACAAAATAAAATAATGTTATTTTTTCATAAAATTTCACAAATATATATTAAATAACTATTTAAAAATTAATATCAAGTTTGTTTGTTGAAACTCCTTGAAAAAGTAGGCCCAATGGACCATGGAGGCCAAAATAGACTTTTCACACCTTACTAAGCTTGGAGTATCGAATCGCCATGAAATTTTACGAGGACCTCCGTATGGATATTACGGTCATTTTGGGACCAACCAGAGATCCATTAGACTTTAGATGCACCCACAATCGATGTCCGGGTCCACTGGCGTCTCCCTCTCCATTTCATTTTCTTCCTTGTAAATGTCTGACCAAAATCCGAAGTTCAAAAACTTTGGTTTAAGGACGCCTCTTCAACCACTTTTTTTTCACTCCACACTGATCCTTTTCTCTAGTTTTCTGAACAAAAACCCTCCCAACATACCCCTCTTTCAATCCCATAGGTTACCCCTTCAAATCAACCCCTAACCCCTTCAAAATTAGGGTCAAAGTAGGCTAACAAATAAGGTTTTCAAAACACAATTAGACTTGCAACCTTCGATTTCAAACATCCTCCAAACTCATTTTTACTGGCAAAAATGAGTTCCTAGAGTCTGTTTTAGCTTAGAACACCTCTCATTTGAAGCCCAAACACAAGATGCATGGAGATCAATTTCCATGGCTTCCCTAACCCCAGCACCACCCAAACCACCACCACCCGTCACGGCCACCTTCAAGACCACCACCAAACAACTTCATAACTCCCCAGTAAGTATAACCATATCACTCAATTAATTCGAAACAAGTTCAAATCCCAAACCCGTTTCATAAAAATCAAAAACCCAACACTTTAAAATTCAAATTGGTGTATTAATACTAACCCAAACCAAAATCTAATTACATCAATAGATTTCTAACATCAAACTTAAGCTAGAAGGATACCTGTGGGTGTTCGAAGATGCTTCGCAGGAAAAATCCAAAAATTTTGTTAGTATTTTCTTTCTCTACACTTCTCTCTCTCTCGATTT